GAAAGTATCAGCCATGGATCAACTGGCAGAATCGATCTGTGAAGATGCGTGCCGTTTGTTCATAATATGGCCATCTGATGAACGTCTTGGAGCGTCCACAAGCGTGTGGATGTACTACGAGTGAGTGCGATGGCCTCACTTGTGGTATGGTCGTTAGTATGATTGCACAAGATCACAGTGTAGAAGGCCACTGCACTGAGGAACCAGCTTCCGGCACCTGTGTAGAGACACAGGCTGCGCCGAAGGCTCACCAATCGAATAGATCGAGTGGACTGGATTGCGGATACACACCAAGTAGGGTGCATCCAAGCAGAAAGATTAGTGTTGCTCAGTATCTATTACACGTTGAAGCGGGATCGACTAACAGAGAGTCGATCGTAGAGCAAGCACACTCGACTGAAAGAGAGTCGATCGATGAGAACGTGACTGTAGTAGTGTAACCACAGTCATTACACGTATTGGAAGAAAGTTCCGACGTTCTTGAAAGTGATAACTCCCAAAAGAGTTATGTTGAGGGTGTGGATCCCCAACCACCTGCGGATGTGTTTTTTAAGAAAAGAACCGAGACAGTGAATGTCTTGGTGAATGACGGATCAAGTGTAGGCGCGTATACACTTGATCTGGTGACGCCTTCGAAGTCAGCTTCGGAGGTAATCAAGTTGCCAACGCTAGAATCTAAAAGATTCTTGCGAGATCTGCGTACTGACAAAATCAGGCAGATCTGCGTACTCGTCACAGAGGACGAGTACGTCGTCGATATTCGGTCGGCACAAGTGTTTGCTGAGAACGAATGGGTTATCAGTAGTTCATCTATGGACGAGAGTGTACTCGATAAGAAAACCCGAATTGAGCGGTACACGTCTCAATCTTGGGAGTCTTTAAATACAAATCCTTTGTTTCAGGATTTGGTGGAATTCAGGGATGTCTTCCCGGAATCCGTGCCATGCGAGCTGCCCAAAGACAAAGGCACTCGGCATGAGATCGAACTGAAACCTGGTTTGAAGCACTGTGTCATGAAGCAGTGGCCAGTACCTCGTAATCAGGTCAAAGCGATCGACAAGTCCTTTTCTGATAGATTAGCGACTGATCATGTGAGGGAATCAACATCCCCACACAGCTCTCCGACCTTCTGTGTGCAAAAGGCCACAGGAGGGTGGCGAATATTGCACGCGTTCAACATATTGAACGCTGCAACGGTACCGGCTCAAACGCCGATCCCAAGGAAAGACATCATCATAGATGGTATGGCATAGAGCAACATCTTTTCGTACATGGATTTGATGGATGGATTCTATCAGATCCTCATGCGTGAAAGGGATATCCCGAACACAGCAGTGAGCACCCCCAGTGGTATGCCCTGGTATTGGCTAGTGATGCCAAAGGGGCTAAGTAACGCCCCCGCAACGTTCAACAGATGTGTTACGAACCTGTTGCGATCGGCGCGTGATTTTGCACCGAGTTACTTCGACGATGTCTTCGTCCATAGCCGGGCTATGGATTAAAAGACGGACGTGGAGGTTCATAGAATCCACATCCGGAAGGTTCTTAACCTTATGCGAGAGCATAAGTTGTTCGCGAACCTCAAGACGTGTATATTTGCAGCGTACGAAATACCGCTTCTTGGCTGCGTTGTGGGTAAAAATGGTGTACGCCCTGATCCGGAAAAGATCAAGGCGATTAGCGACTGGCCTATGCCAGCCGACGTCAAGGGACTTCGAAAGTTCCTTGGCTTGGCGGCGTGCTTGCACAAATACTCGCGCAAATATGCCGAGATTACCATACATCTCTCTCGTCTGATAGCGAAAAACGAGAGGTGGTCATGGAGTGCTGAGTGTCAGCACTCCTTCGAAGGCATAAAAAAAACTTGGTGCAACCGCCTGTGTTGGCGATTGCAGACCAGGATCGACCATTTCATGTGGTCGGTGACACCAGCAATTTTGCAATCGGTTGCGCGTTAATGCATTACGACTCAGACGGTGATGAGCGCGTCGTCTGTTATTCATCGCGTCAGCTGCAAGCAGCTGAGCAAAATTATTAGGTGCATGACAAGGAACTCCTTGCCATGAAATATTCACTGGCCAAATTTCGGGTATTTCTATTTAGTAGATAGACCCTTCATCGTTTAAACCAACCGTGCTTCGTTACACACAGCCGTAAACAGTCCACAGCTCTCGCAATAAATGGCGAGGTGGCTGTCTTTCTTCGCGGGGTACGACTTTTACATCGAGTTTTAACCAGGACGACTTAATGTCGTCGCTGATGCTCTTTCGATTCGGCCTGATTTGAAGCCGACTGCTCAACACAACAGAAGGGGTGATCCTACTGTTGCAACACTGTCAGTGAGTGTTCCGTCGTCGAATCGGCTCGAGGACGTGCGGAAAACATACGCAGAAGATGAGTCTTTTGTGCGATTGATGGATTACGTATTCAATCCGTGCAATCAAGCTTTAAAAAGCTTGTCGTCTCAATTCCGCTTTTCAACCGAGCGGCATTCTGTCCGTAATGGACTGCTGTACTATACAGCAGTCAACGGCGACACACCTCGTACCTTCGTTCCCGCTCATAATGATTTGAGATTGCGCATCATGTATGAGCGTCACGATGCCCTAACAAGTGGGCTTCGCGAAAGAGAAAACACTTACCTCACGGTAAGTCGTGACTTCTACTGGCCCCGCCAGTGTGAGTTTGTGCACAAATACATCCGCGCTTGCGAAGTTTGTCAACGATTGAAGCCTAGTCCTTCATGTCGTCCACCCTTTCAGCCTCGACCGATTCCGGCAGTGCTGGCAGTCCGTATCGATGGACTTTGTCTTTGGGTTTTCTAAACACGCTCATAAGAATACGGATACACTTGTGTTTGTTGATCGGTTCAGCAAGATGGTACATCATGTTGTTGTACCGGAGTCAATCACAGCCCAGGGCTGTATTCGTATCTTCATCGATACTATCTTTCGACTTCACGGGTTACTCCGTGAACTCGCGTCTAACAGGGACCCCCGCTCGACAGCGGAGTTCAAGAAATCCGTGTTCCGTTCACGTGGAACACGTTTAAGAATGTCGACTTCTGACCATCCGGAAAAAGATGGTCAGCGGAACGCGTCAACCGCGTCCTCGAAGAGATACTTTGAGAGTATGTCCACTCGTTTACGATTTGGAGTGATTTCTTGCCGATGGCGGAATTCGCCATCAACAACTCGGTGCACGCGTCAACCTCGCATACACCGTTCTTGGTGAATGGCCTACGCAATCCACTCTTACCCGCCTTCTTAGAGTGTGACTATAATTTAAAAGAGGGGACTCACTCGAATAAAAATTGATCTGGTTCTTGCTCATCACCCGTCGACAATGGTGTCGACGTGATAGATTCCGATGTCGATCACATCAAAATCGATGATGATGATGATGCTGGTGCATTCAGCATCGCCAACGACTTCTACAGTGAGGAAGATGACGCCCTTACTGATGAAGATATCGTTCTTTCAGTAATGCACACGAAGCGCGCTGCTGTTGACAAGGATGAGTCAGCAGAGGAACTTCTGCTGACTCGCGAAGCGGTTGTCCGCTTCGTTTACAGACAGAAAAGAAACGCAGACAAACATGGAAGAGCAAATGTCTTTTCATTTATTGAGAGAGAAATAAAAAATTTACGTTAACAGTAAATTTATCAAAACACGTAGTGACAAACGTGGGCAGAAGTAAATTAATGCCAAAGCACATTGGTCTCTTTCGTGTATTGCGCCGCATGGACAACGCATACATAATTGAGCTGTCTCGTAGGATTTGTACGCATAACACGTTTTACGTTGGACTTCTCCGCCCGGACTATCAGTACGAACCCTTTTCGAGAGGCGAAGAACACATTTGCGGTCAAGGGCCGAGGCCACCTTCGAGTGGTCCCGTTTCAGCGAGCCAGTACGATCGTCTAGCGAAGCTACCCGCTAACGCAGTAAAGTGATGTCCTAATGAGCTGCAGTCAGCTTGTCACGAAGAGAACGAATCGAACATTCGTTCCCAAGCTGCGCAAATGCAAGCGCGGCACTTTTGTTCGAACAAAAGTCTGCCAAGGAATCCTAATTATCCCCTACAAGGTCATAAAGCTCATAACGCCGAGTCCTTACATGAGCTAAGTCGTCGTACAACTGATCCGTTACACGGCTCAGTGCCTGAACATCAAGCTGATCCGACCCTTGAGCCGGATTAGGTGTTCCCGCTGCCACCAACCCTTTAATAAATTCCGGCGGTGGTCAACGCTTTCTGGTGGAGCGTGTCTTGAACAAACGTAACGTGCAGGGCGTCCAGACGAGTTACCTCGTCCGCTGGCGTGGCTACCCACCGACCTAAGATAGCCAGTTGCCTCGCGCTCAGCTGATTGTTGTTGTCCTGGGTCTCGTCGAGCAATATGACAATACTCACTTGCTGCGTTCGAACAAGGGCCGTCGGAAAAGGACCTTCCCGAACGCGTGTACAGGGATTGCAAAGTGTCTATCCCTTTGGCAATCTCAGAAGAGGTGCGCGCCCTCCAGTAGGGATCATTAGGGAGGTAGGCCTTCCTAGGGGCACGGCTCGAGTTGTCCAGGCAACCTGGACACGAATCACCCCACGAGAGACAGGGTAATCCTTCCTCTCTTGACAGCTGGTGCAACTTGTATCGCAACCTGGCTGGGTTAAGTTTCTTAAACCTGATGCGAGCTGTATCAAGTTTGAAGAACCAGGCCTCACGGCCAATGCACTCGATGTTATGGATAAAGGCATTCCATCCTTGCACCAAGGCTTTACCATCTCGAACATGGCTGCTTTTGTAATACAGATGTTTGAAAATGCATCGGTGAAGAACTCTTCCTTAGCACGGATAGTTTTCATGCTGGAATTAGAAGAACAAATTTTCCTACAGTTGAACAACGGGATTCAATCCCGTTCGGTGGTCTTGCCGATTTCTCGATCTAAATCTTTGGATGATGGTATCCAAGGAGACTCCACTTGAGGAGCGTGGCGCAGGACATTTAGGTCCCTGGTCTCTTGAGTGATGTGAGCATGAGCACTGACGCCCGTGGCAGCTCAATCCCTCGAGTTGCTTCTCTCGTGGTGATCCATTGGTGCATCACCACCATCACCACGCGTCCTATCGTCAGATGTACTAGCTTGAGACGAGGATTCTTCAGACGAATAGCTCGGTCCGAGGATATCGGACAAGATGCAGCCACGTTCCCCAGAGCCATGTTACCTGGCTCTTGCAGTGTCTGCCCCGGATAATCCGGAGTTATGAGATGTCGCCTTCGAGTCGGATGCATCATCCGACTCGCCAAATTGATGAGCTCTGATTTAGGCTCATCCCCAATGCGAGTCGCAGCACCCGCTGCAGACGCAGCGGATGTATCTGTCGCACGTGGTGACTCACCACGTGAACTGTTCACAACAGGCACCGCCTGTTGCTGAAGCTCAAGAGCCGGTGAAGGGTCACCTGATGCTAAAGCAAGAGAATCAATCTCTTCGACTGCACGCATGCGCGCAACCGCCTTTCTGGCTGCTTTTGCAGTACATCGCATGAACTTTGACACCGTGCGATGAATTGGCACATGAGTTGGAATTTGACCAACTACTACTTCCCTTTCCATAGTGATCTAACGGTGATCACCCTGTACCAGTCATTAAAGTCTAATCAACGGGTGATTAATGGTTAAAAGGGGGTTCATGCTCGGGTTAACCCGTTACATGATATTGACACCAAATGGTGTCAACAGGGAGATTGTCAAGCGTGACAATTCCCTTCCAATATTATCCGAGATGGATAATGTTGAAGGAAAATTATCCCCTTTGTAGAATAATAAGTATGCGCTGCTCAAAGATTGTTTGATAAAATACATATCGACCAAGGTTACCATTAATCGCTGCTAGACGCGCGTAATGAGTGGTGAGCAGGTTGTCGTCGTAACGACAATGTAGATTAATACAGTTAGATAAAGACTGAAGTTATATTGATAGCTTAGCTATAATACATACAGTTCTCTTTCTACCCTTTACTCAACTTAGCTGCTGAGTAAATGAGCATCCTCTGCGCGTATTAGTGTTCGTGAAGTTTCGTGGCATCCCAAACAAATGGTGCCCCGTTACATCTGTCGCTTAAGAGAATTCTAAGCTAGAAAAAATAGCATTACAGACGCATGAACATTTAGCCTATTATCTGGACCTGCCTACGAGAATGAAAAGAGTAAGTCACAACTCCGGCACCAACCGAATGCAAACATCACGCAACCCGCACCAGTAGCAAAACCAGCACCACATCAGCATGTAAAACATGTGTACCACGCTATATACGTTCCTGTGACTAATTTATCCATGAGTCGCCAGGTGCCACTAGTAAACTTTACGTGTGATTTATGCCATCGTTGCACTTATATGTCCTGCGAACGGTAACGACCTTGGGCGCGATTCGTGGTGCCACTAAACTGGCGCTGTCTATTTTAACGATTAGGTCGCTGCGAAGAGATTTAAACTGTATTTTTCGATTGATCCTTTAATGGTGCTGACATCTGTCACAACTGCGACCGCTGTGTAGCGGGGCACCATTTGTTTGGGGTGCCACGAAACTTCTCGTACACTAGTACGTGCAGAGGATGCTCATTTACTCAAACAGCTAAGTTGAGTAAAGGGTAAAAAGAGAACTGTATGTATTATAGCTAAGCTGCCAATATAACTTCAGTCTTCATCGAACTATGTTAATCGACATTGTCGTTACGACGACAACCCTGCTCACCACTCATTACGCGCGTCTAGCAGCGATTAACAGTAACATTGGTTAATTTGTCTTTTATCAACCAATCTTTGTGCAGCGCATACTTATTATTCTACAAAGGGGATAATTTTCCTTCAACATTACCCATCTCGGATAATATTGGAAGGGAATTGTCACGCTAGACAATCTCCCTGTTGACACCGTTTGATGTCAATTTAGTGTAACGGGCTGACCTGTTACACGCTCCGTCCGACACCCATTTATCAGGAGACTTACAAACGAGAATCATTTTTTACTGAAGCTGCAGCGCACAGCTCTTTCCACCATAAACTTAAAAAGAAAACATTGGATTTTAACAACTTCGTGTATGCTGAACAGATTACACTTCCGTTTGTACGTTGATGTATAATCCTGATCCACTAGCCGGTACCCCGATCATGTTCGAAAATTGCATGATGCTGATCGGTCGGCGGCGCCATCGAAATGGTCATCGCATGCTGCTATACAATATCACTGCGCTTGTCCCCTTGGATTCGGACCGTGCGAGACTCTTGCTTCTCTGCCGCTGCAACGACACGTGTCGTGGTGTGTACAGCCACTGACTTCTCGCACGGTTCGTAGAACGCTCTCGCTCGACCATCGCAGAGTGGTGAGGACACGTGGCTATCCGTAGCTTATTTCCTCATGATACAAAAATACACGAATCGACATGAGCAAATGCACGACGGAAACAGCATCATGAGTTGTTCAATATCATTCTTGATCTATGTACACGTCATTCATTTAAATTGAGAATAGTAACGATAGGTTACCACGTTAGCAATCCCTCATAGCTGCAATATTTTCGACTACGATTAGTTTAAACAAGTAGCGCATGACTTGAATCGAATTATTTATGAATGCCGCACAGTCACACGTTACGGTTGCCATTGTTAAAATACAAGTTCGTCAACATATTGATGGTTAATTGTCATTTTCTGTTCGTCGCCGCCTCCAGTTTTTTTTTGCATATTGCGCGACTGCGTGAGAGGCCTACACGAGATCCTCCTCGCGCATTCGGACTGAGCACTGGACGATCTCCACCGAACGTGGGTGGACTTGACCGGGTGGGACTGTCATGAGTGGCTAACTGCGGATCAATGAATCGAAGGGTAAATATAGGGCAGGATGATATAGCGTGGTACACATTAATTACGTGCTGAAGTGATGCTGGTCTGCGCCGGATGCCGGTTTTGCGATGTTTGCATCTGTTTGGTGCCGGCATTGCGGTTTACTCGATTTAAAATGACCGTGTCAACTCGATGCTACATTTTCAATTGTAAAATTGTCAAATACACCACAATTTTTAAGCAGACCTATATACCACACCCATATCACACCAGATACAGTTTATACGACAAACATTGAGCCGCAATATTTTTGTACGATCACTATCGCGCACCGTTTTGAATTTATCGTACAGATGTTGGATGATTTATCAGTTATTTATTTTTCACGTAGTTTGCGGACCGGTCCAGACACAGAGTTAGGATAGGCTCGATAAAAAGATATGGCTGTATATCACAAGAATTTGTTAGAAGTGTGATCTTTGCTGCTACACCTTAAATACATCAGGGCCGCAGTTCTTAACTTTCAGAAGATGGTGAGAGCCAGTTTGTTTTGAAAAGTATACAGAGTCATTTAAACAAAGGTTTAGGTGTCACAAGCGTAATTGTATGCATTCGATAACAGCGAGGATCACAATTCAAACGAAAAATGAAATGTACAGCTACATTTTGTTTTGATCAAGCCCATCCTAATTCTGTGTCTGGAACGATCCATTGACTGTAACAAATAGATTAATTGGTACATTAAATGGCATTTGTATAATCAATGCAGAATTTTGTGCGATAGGAAAAATTGGAGATGCTTTTTAATTTCTTTTGGTATTTTTCAATTTGTAATTTATTTAAAAATGTAGCGGTCGTACAGAGGCATGGTGGCGTAATGTTAGACGTAAATACCATACTGTTGTGTGGTTTGTGTGTAGTGTATGGGGTGTATTTAGTAAAAGTAAAGTTTATTTTACAGCCTCTAAGATCAAGCATAGGGCCAAAGCTGCTAAACCGCAGATATGAGACTTCGCTACACTGGCGCAGAAGAGAAAAGATCACCTGAAGCAATTGACATAGTTTCGACTTCTGCTTCCGTGGAATCAGACTGCAACATTCGCTGTTGCAGGCGCACGCGGTGATGCACTGCCTGAAAATGGAGCATATGAGCTCGAGCTCATATGCTCTGGCGAGTATGACGATGAGACTGAAGCGAAAGAGGCGAAAGCCAAGGATGAGCCAAAACTAGCTAAACAAAGGCCAATTAGGTCGCTTTATCGAATCACATAAGTCTCGAAGAGCTTTTTGACATCTTCGGATTGTCCGACGCGTCCGATTCTTCGTCTTTGAGACGGAGCCACTCGGCTGACAGCAAGACAGGCTGTGGCTCTGGCCACAGAGGGGGCAGACGGTGATGCGAATATGCATCAGCGTACGGGTGATCGGGGTGATTATGGTGTTTATACTTTTGTTGACATCAGGCAAGAGTCTGAGAATGGCAACACCTTGCGCTCTGCTCCTGAGAAGAAGCGGTCGCTCCTCCTCCAGGAGTGTTAGCTTGTCTATATGACGCTACGAGTAGTCGTTACCGAATACTCATTTTCGATTCATTAAAGCTCTATGAGCTTGACACTAGTGATCAATTTTCGCGCTAAACGTGTTTTCTTTATCGATGCGTTCTCTAATCATAGATCGTTTAACTTTTGCACCGAACGTGATTTCTTCATCGATGCATTCTTTATTAGATCGTACTGTTGATTTAGAAACAGGACGCTTTCATTTACAACATTGGAAAGATTGGGCGTGATGCTTGGCTAACAAAGCTGTGGCTAGTTTGAAATCGGTTGAAGATGCGGACCTCTACCGGGGCCCGTTTTAAAATGCATTGGTTGTCAAGAAAGTCCTGGCTGCCCTTTCTCTCTTGTGATGCGTGCCAAAGTAGTGTAAATAGCTTGGCACAAACTCTAAAGGAGCCTACTCAATAGCTAACCACTGATGGAGGTTACGTGTCATTCAAGAGACGTACGAGGAAGTAGCTAATTGTAATTCCTCTACAAGCGCGCTAAACTTTCGGTCCCCGATGTATCTACTTTGGCATCGGATGCGCCTTGTCATACTTCTCGACAACGTCCAAAACTTTTTCCAGCAATTGAGAGCGAGGCTCCCAAGCATCTGCCTAGGGTGTATACCCACGCCACCGGACGAGGTAACTCTGTCGACGTCCCTTCTGATCGCCGTGGCTCAACATCATTTTTACGAGGAAGCGTTGGTCACCGCGCACATCAAAAAATTGGATGAGGCCGAGAAAAAAACTCGTTTTTAAACATATTTGCAGGTCCAGGATGATATTGTGGGTCACTCGAGCGCGTAACGTGTGAGTTCTGCAAGGACCTCGATCACGAGAAAGGCAGGCATTTATATGCTTGGCCGTGTGAGCCGTCTCTCCTAAGAACAGGAGAAGGATCGATCAGTTTTTGCTTTTTTCCAGCTATCAATTGAGCGGGCACAGCGTTCTCGTTGCGACGAGTTAGTGGAGGCTCGTCAGAATATCACTCGGCTGCTCGGGGAGAAATTCGCACTTTAAAAGCGGGCTGATGCTAAGCATAATGAGCACAAGTGTCTCTTAAAGATACTTCAGTGCAAGGGATATCCTCATCGGAAGAAGTCCCGAGCTGATGTA